CATTCCTGCAGGCCGGATCAGCTTTCAGTGAGAAGATAATTCAGGAACAGGCATTTTCTACTATTTATAAGACTTTCCTCTTAATGTTCCATTTGCACTGCGGTGGGAGCAGAGGCCTGTTAACAACAGTTGCAACGTGTAGTGTAGACGGGGTTTGGATCTTAAAGGGGATTGTACGTTTGGAAAACAGGGTTGTAAGTCCATAGAAGTAGAAAATCTTTAAAAATGTTGATATAAGCCTAACAACTTAAAAGTGCAAAGAACCTAGAGGATATGTACCACATTTACACTGATTTGGGACTACCTTTTGAGGTATGTGGAAAGTGCATTTGAATCTGTCTTTATATATCAATAATGCTATCTAAATGGATGGATATAGAGGGCCCAGGCCTCGAGTTTGACAGGACACTCTAGGTACACCAGATCCAGTGTGATAATCTGTAAAATATGGGGTGTCCTATACGAGATGGTCAAACTTTAGGACCTCCATTAAAAGCAGAGGATACAGCTTTTCCCATATTTCTGCAGTAACTGGATTTACACAAGCACGCATATATATATATATAATTGTGTGTATGCGTATGTATGCATTAACAGCCCAAATTCTCTGAAAAAGTGACTTCAACTAGTTACTTTAGGCATGTGCAGCTGAACTGTGCATGCACAGTAAGTCCATGAGTTGTATGAATTATGATTTACATGTTCCCACTCAGTTCAACATCCATGGCTTAAAATGAAACACTAGGGGTAGGTACATTGTTCAGGTGATTTTATTTAAATCTAACAACAGCAGAACAACAGGATTCCCAGAAAGAAATGACACTCCTTCCCCCCAGACAAAAAAAAAATACTTTAGTAACATTAATTACTAATTTTGGCAAAAAAAATCTGAATTTCCTTAGTCTTTGAGTTCAGCACAGATGTTCTCCCCTTTTAACCACCTTCAGTATTCTCCAGAGAATTCGATATTAATGACATTCAGGGATCAAGTCACAGTCCACTAGTGCAAGTCACAGAGCCAGATTCCATCAATTTTCCTCTCTCTGGGTGCTACCATACCTTCTGGACAATCCCATTCTTACTAATGGAACTAGCTGCAGAATAAAATATTATCGAAATTGACCTAAATTTTCAGTGCATTTCATAACATTTGTAACCCAAATGCAGCCTATGATAAAAAAATTAACTAGATTAAGCTTAAAACCATTCACTGTATCAAAGGAAAAATATAAAATATTGGAGAATCACTCTTGACCTCGCTCTCAAGACCTCAAGGATTTTACTGCAGCAAGAATTACATTTTGGTCATAAAACAGAATTATTTCACTTGCTAAAATTCCTAAAATAAAACTTACAAAATTAATGCAAATTCCATCAAAATGTTGTCTATGAACAAAGAAAGGCAATGTCCTGATTCAGAAGAGCATTAAAAGGATGTGCTTAAATACTTCTCTCCTCTGGAAAGCACATTCTTACATACTTAGAACTGAGTACCTGTATAAGTGCTTTCCTGAGCCAGAGCCCAAACAATGCCCTGATGAAGCAGGTGAAACTCCAGGGACTTGGGACTTCCCCAGTTCTGTATCTGATCTCTCAAAATACAAACAGATCATCAGAGTTCTCAAAATGACCTGCACAGGTCACTCAAGCTACATGGATTTCCCCTTGAACACACCGACTGAAAAGATGGTGTTGGAGGAAAACGTTTATTTCGCGTTCTATAATATTTCTCTGGATTATCATTTGTTTTAAAAACTACAACTCTCGCAACACCTTCCCCTCTTCTTCCTCCTCGCTGTCAGTCACATTAACTTGCTGGATGCTGGAGGGGGTAGACGGGGTGGCTGACAAAACATTCTCCAATGTTCCAATGTCCAGCTGTGGTATGGGGCTTAAATACCCCTCCTCGCTGTGGCTGTTGTAATAGGACATTCCTTCAAGGCTCTCACAGCTGCGGGAGTCCTCACGCTGTGTATGTTCCTCTGGGTACTCCCTGAAGGGATAGTCTCTGTCCAGGGAAGAAAACATCGCCTCATGCTTTTGGTACCGGTCTTCATAAAAGCCAAGGCATTCTGGCACTGAACCGGCAAAATTCCCACAGCCAAATGGAGGCCGGCTGAACGGGCACGTGCTGCAATGAAAGAGATGGAAAGTTGTCTTACAAAAGTGCAGATTGCTCAGACTTCAATGCAGACAAGAAGATCAGAATGGCTCTAGCGTTCCAGAACCGACTACCATAGCCAGTTCATTCTGCTGAAATATTCAAAATACACCTAGCTTAAAAATATGCCTGATTTAAGCTCTAAGGCCTAACAATCATGCACAGATTCCACATTAGCAAAGAAGGCCTGCATATGCACCCCTTTATGCTAGACACATACAGGAAGTTGCTTTAAAAACAAAAAAATCCAAACCATTGCATTTATTACTGAAATGATGTGATGGATAAAACAGCATAAGCCTGCAGCATGTTAACCTACATACTCAAAATAGTAAAACAAAGCATCAAAAGTTAGTTTGTGCTGCTTTTGTATGCCAAAATTTGTCACAGAGCTGGGAAACAAACAGTCTTATTTACTGAGCGATCTCTTGCATCTACTCTATTGTTATTAGCAGGAGGACTGACAGAGAATCTGTGTGCCCAATATGTGGTTGCCAATGTTACTTTGTTGTCCTTTAATGTTATTTAAGGAATTTATAGTGCTAAATTAAAAAAAATATATATATAGTAGATGGCAAGAAGTTACTGTACCAAAATATAAATGTTTTTCTCTGGTGTCCTCAGTTTGAATTTTTATTCCTACGCAGAACATGAGATGCAAGACTTATTACAGCTTACACAGTGTTCTAGTAACACACTACACTGTTAAGAGGGTAAAGTATGCAAAGAAGTAACAGAGTTCTGCAGCGCAGATAGTAGAAAGACATCGATACAGTGTCTATCAAGGCTCCAAGGAGACCAATCAACATTAAATATTTTAGTGCATAAATCTGCAGACATTCATTTGCACTGTCAGCGCTACCCAGAAATGATGATCCTTGTCTGCAAGGAATGAGTTTATAGGAACATGAACTTACAAATCAATGTATTAGAAAGATCCTGGCATTAGCAAACCTGGCAACCTTCAGAAGTCCCACTTACGTGTGAAATCCAAGTCTTATAGAACAAGCACACTTCTCTCCCTCAGAGAGCTCACAAAACTGTCTAATTTCATATACCAAGGGCCTAAGCGAAGCTCATGTTTAGCAATTCTAGGAAGATGTGTCCTATGTTCATTAAATGATTTTAAAAAGAGCAAAATCTCCTATTGCACTTATCTGTTTATTAAGGCCTTGCAAGCTTGAGGAGTCATCATCAGTCCTAATTTATGATTGAGTACAGTCTCATTGCCTTAAGAACATACTGGTTGTTGTTATCAGTAGGAAGGAGCATACTAATGCTAAAAATCATAATAATTTGTTGTGTTTGACTTTGCATGGTCATGAAAGAGAAATGGTGCCTCACAGCGATAAGCATGGATATGAGTTTGTGCAGTGTGAAATGAGAGCACATGAGTAGGCTATCAGACTTCCTGTGTTTGAGCAGCACATCTACATGCCTCAGAACTAGCTGCTGGGAGGACACTAGTCCTTTCTGCGCATAGTTAGCTTAAGAAATACCCCCACAGGGTGACTTGTAAATTCTTTGACCAAGTGATCTCTGACTGACTACCCCAAGACTGCAAAGGATAAACTAGGACTTACGACTTATATAAAAATTCTGAGGCTATTTCCCACCAGGCTAGATTTCAGAAATACTGATGCTTATGACAGCGGCAATCAAAGCATCTGGGACACATCCCAAATACCTACTTTAATTCTATCCAATCACTTTCAAAATATATTTACATTATTTTTACTTAATTTTTTTTGTAGAAATCCACTGCACTTAGTGTATGAAGTAGAGAGAAAACACTTCTATTTACTGAGGGCTTGGGAGCATCAGTTACTAAAATAGTACTACGGAACCTTCAACAACTGAGCATATATTATGAGCAGCCTCAGGCCAGTGGGTCCCACCACACTGGAGTGCTATAGGAACGAAAGCGCACTTTTCACTCCCAGGAAAAAGCTCTTGCCTCAGGAGCTGAATGATCCATCTGCTTTCTGAAAGTCAAAGGAGACTCTGCCTTTTAGTACTTATTCTCACTGGGACTGAAGTGAAGGAATGCATTACCTTGAAGGGAAATAGTGAGGTCCAGGTACAAAGTAAGGGTGATGAAATGAAAACCGCGGAGGTGCTCCAAACAGACTGGCTGGATGACCAATGGGAGGAGGCTGATAGAGATGTGAGTGAGGAAGAGGGGTAGCTTGGGGAAGAGGTGCACTTCTAGGACAAGCAGAAATCTCTGAATACTCCTTTGGGGTCTGACTATCAGAGACAGAAAATCTGGCGTTAGCAGTGCTTGTGTTACTTGGGTTCCTACTGGAGCTCTCAACAGAAGCTGGTGTAGGTCTCTTCACAGAGCAGTTGGGTCCAGGTGATACATGAGTTTCTGTCTGAGCAGGTCCAGCAAAGTGCTGTGGTGAAATTACAGGGTGCAGGGGCAGAGCTGGAGCTGGAACAGCCACTGATGTGGTGCTTGCAATAGCAGGCTGGAAAAGTGTAATTGGACCTGGATGTTGAATGGAAGAGGCTGACAGCTGCATGGCAGGAGCTTCACCTTGAGGAAACAGAAAAGGTATTCATCAGCCATGAGTAGAGGATGAGATTTCCTAAATAGTTGTGTAGCAAACCACAGCTAGAGCCAGAATCATTTTCTCCAAAACATCCTAGAGCATCACTTCCTTGCACTCAGTTACACGCCACACAGCCTATGTGTGTTCGGACAGATGGTTGTGGTGCCCACACATGCAAGCTTCCTTCTAAAGGAATCTAAGGGTGGGTGAGTGAATAAAGCAGGAGGCGGCTGTGAGGTTTGAGGCTGTGAGGCTGGTGAGAGCTGAGTCTTGTCCTGATATGGCCATACAATGGGGCTGGAGTGTGTATTTGGAGCTCAAAGTACAGAAGGTCTCCCAGGTCTGCTACTTGAGATGGAAAAAAACAAATTATTTTTAATTAAACCTCATGATGCCAAAGCAGCAGTGAGGAGCAGAAGCAACAGCTACGATAACCTACCCTCAGACACGTTTTGTCATTTGTTTCACTAATGGACATACCCACTAGCCAATTTCACTTTGAAATGTTTTGCAGACCTACATTTTCAAATCATACTATATGTTAACAAGGTTGCCTTTATACAGAAAGGTTTCAGAACGCTTTGGGTTAATACTTTCAAAAAGCACTACCTCGTTTAAGAGTCTAAACTGTGTGTCAATGGGACTTAAATGCTTCTAAATTTTTACAATTTATATTTAAGAATCACTTCGACCACAATAGCAAGATAGTAAACTCTGGAATGAAACATAGTAGCATGTGAGAAGAACACAAAGTTATAAGATACATTAGGGTAAGAAATGAAAAATATTTTATTTGATCAGATCTGCAGAGGGACTTAGGAAAGGATCACGTTGGCCAAATCAAAGTAGAATGCTCTCTTGTACATTTCCAGATATTACTATGGTGCATGAACGGGCATTTAGTTTTCTTTCCTCATTACAGAGAGGGCAGCCCTTGAAGACCAATGTTCATATACTGAAATAGAAAATGCCAGTAAACGGATCTATGCCATTTGTTGTTGAAACCCACCACTCATGTACCAACAGAGCCAGAGCTCTTTCATCATGACACATGAGAGACTGCAGTCAGCCAATTTATTCTGACTGTGGGCTCTCACGCTACACCTTATTGCACTGCACATATTGACATACTATAAGAAGGAGGGTACTTCCAGGTTACGTGCACCTTTGGAATGTATTTCTCCTGTAACCATGTTATTGTGTATATAAGAGCTGAGCTTTGTGGGCTCAAACTGTGGACACGCACAAGCTGATCAACTACATATAGAACTATGGGCACAAATATTTAAATAACTGTTCGTGAAAAAAAGTGCAAGTGAAAAATTCCTCTTCCAGTTTTACAGACCACTTTAAAATTGTAGCCCACATCCTCCCTACTTAACATCCTCCTTTCTGATGCCTTTGTTGACAACTCTGTCTGCCCTCTCCTGTGAGCAGTCTAAGCTGCCGAGCGTTTGTTCTAAAGCAACGGTGCCCTCACTAGAAAGGCACACCAACACAGGACTGGAGAGGTGCCAGGGCTAAGCTAATAAGCTTCGTCAGGCTTAGTAGTGTGGGTTGAGCAGCAGTTAGATCTGGTGGGGTAAGATATGTCTGTGATGGAGACAGAATAAGAAAGAAAAAACAGAGAGAGAGATAGCTGTAGCTTAATAGGAGGCAAGTACTAAGTAACAGAGACCCCCAAAAGGCAGAAAGATAGCAGGAGGGAACCAGGAGATAGGAAGACAATAGCAGGGGTCTGTAGGAGAGTAAAGAGGTAGCCAGAAGAATTTAAGGGCAGTAAAGGGAGAGAAGGCTGAGGAAGTAGGAGGGAAGAGACTAAGAGCAGTGCAGTGTCGAGGAGGATTGACAGACACAGTGGTGTCCAAAAAGACTGAGAAGCCGTATCTTAACTATATCTACACTACAATGTGTATAACTTTTACTATGATAGGTAGATTCTTAATTTTTAAAATCATTCACTCAGACTACTAAAAACTCACAGACAGGATGTCCAATACTGTTCTGAACATTGGGGATGACAACGGAGTAAGCGGGTGATCGGAAGGGATAAATGGCTGCTGGATTTGTAGTGATGATATTCTGAGAAGTGCCGGAAAATACAGTGGAGACAGTCAATGGAAAACGCTTCCTTTTGCCCGGTCGCGGTTGATAAACCCAACCTGTCAGAGATGAAAAAGATGCAGACTTCTCATTTTTGGGATGATCTCTTTCTTTCTGTAAAGCTAAAATATCTGTAATTCTGAAGTATCTAAAAAAGTATGAGTCCAAAAACTGCTCCAATAGTCAATGGCAAAACTCTCATTCATTTCAGTGGGTGGGCAAAAGGGCATTTTATCAGAGGTGGAGTTAAAACGAGCATGTTTGGGCGTTCTTAGGTTACCAATTCAGTTATGTTACCAGTGTAGTTACCATTCAAAAATGTTTGTGAGACAAAGAACCACAAAACAGTGGGGAGTGAAATGGCACAGCTAAGGAAAGCATGTAAAGGAGAATATGATGCTGTACCATGGAGTTTTGGTCTGGAAAAAACAAACGGCATACAAAATGTGGATCTTCCCTAATTGTTTCCTTATCCCCTTAAACCTCACATATACCTGGAGGTTAAAAGATATGATGAAAAATATGATCCGCTAGAAATCCTGTTTACGCTTTGGCAGTAAGGAGTTCGCTTGCCTTTGAGTTACAACACTAACCAAACACTTAACAGACTTAGAAATATTTTTGGAATTTGGACTGAGCAGCTTGGTTTTCTTGGGCAGGCTAACTCTTATGCTACTTTAAAGAAACCCTTTTTTTTGAAGGGTGAAAAGACAGAAGGAAGATTCTGCTCTTTATCTTATGCTTGTTTATGATGTATTAGTCAGGTCTTGTCTACCTGACAAGACCTGAACTAGCAAATGATTGTGAACTAGCAAATTTATGACATCACAGACAGAAAGGATTATGACACGTGATGTTTCAGTAGCTTCTATAAAGAGTGTTCAAAAAAATTCTGCTCTGTTTTCTTAGCGCCTTTTTAATTGAACTGCAGTGTTACAGAGAAACAAATCTGTTAAGGGAGCAAATCCCTAAACCTTTGACAAAAGGCTGAGACCATGTTCCGCACCTTGACTCGGGAATCCCAATGCCACAAGTTGAAGAGTCCCACAATACACAATGCCATTTGTGCTTCCTGTGGCATTTCCCTCTCCTACTTTTACAGGAGTGGATGCATGTGTCACTACAAGCCACCTGGACAGCTCCTTCTGGAGCCTGCGAAACGTTTTAACAGGCCACGTTCACAATAAACTGTGCATCTGGCCATTAGACTTATAAAGCATTGAGAAGAGCTACTATACATGTGGTAGTCTAAGAACGTAAGGAATTCAGAGGCTACGGAGAATGAAACATCATTTATGGATAACTATAAAAAAAAAGAATATGCTTTCAGGTACTAGGAATCTGACAAAAGGACCAAATACTTGAAAGTCTACCATTTCTTCCAACTCTAATATTTGCTCTAATGAAAGAGATCTTTTTTTTTTCCCCCATAAATCTTGCCCTTCTAAAGGATTTGGGTAAATAAATATATGTTTACCAGGAAATTCTTCTCTGTGCTTTTCTTTTATTTTCTGAGCTTCGTCATAATAGGGCTTCTTCTGCTCTTCAGTCAGCTTGTTCCACTCCAGTCCAAGCTGAACACTGATTTCTGCATTATTGGCAGTTGGGTTAGCTTTGGCTAGAGCTGGCCGATGAATCCTAGCCCATACCATGAATGCGTTCATTGGACGCTTTACATGGCCACTTTTGTCCTTGCTAAATGGAGTATCTGGTATCCCTATGCAACAAAATGAGGAAAGAAGATCATCTGCCAGGCAATATACACAATATAGGTTACGTTCAATAGTATTTCCAGAAGGTATTTAGCAATATTCAGAAGAATCATCAGAGCTTCGGAACACACAAAACTCAATGCACATTTGGAGAACAGTTCTTAGAAAAATAACTAAGGCTAACAGCATCACTGACTAGCCTCCACTGAAATACTACATAAGGAATTGTTTACGTGACTTTTGTCACATAGCCTTTCTTTTCTGTATGAAACAGAAATGACTGTTAAAAACACACTGGTTTGGATTTCATTTGGCTAGACTGCTTTCTATAATACCTGTGTATTTATAAATTAAACATAATATAGCATAGACCGTATCACTGCAAATTCATGATCACCACCCCAACTATGCATCCAAACCCTAATGATTCAAGGACCAGATCTGATGATGGGATGGCAGTTTAGTCCCACATATTTGCAACTTCTCTGAGGTTGTTGCTGCCGTTTTTTTTTTCTCCCTCTTTTTTCCCCTCTTTTCTCAGATTTAGATGCCCATTTGCTAGAGGAACCTGTTTCATCAGATGACTGTTACAAGACTCCCAGCTTTAGGTCCTTAGAACCAAAGACTGTATTTGAATTGAGCTGGTGAAATAAACCGCATACCTTTCACAATTGAACTTTAAGAAAGCAGCTTCCTCTATGAGAAAAAAACTTAGAACAGAACTCTTCTACGTGGTCAATAAAGGGCAAGTTTATTAGGCTTTAGGACTTCAAGTTAATTTTAAAAGCCTATGTTTCTCTCTAAAAAAAAAAAAAACTAATCCAGATATTTAAGTGTTCCTCACTTAACGTCTTCGAATTTTCTCAGTGAGAGGTGTTTGAATGCTCATAGATTGAAAAATCAAGCAGATACCTAAACTGAACTTGAAACCACTATTCACTGCAATTCTGTTTAAAATAGACGGAGAGCAAGCAGACAAAACTGTATTGATTTTAGTGAACCACTAGAGAACTTTGTGCTGCTGTATGTTTACACCTTTAGCTGAACAAAAGAGTTGTACAAACAACAGTGTATCCACTATTTTAACTTGTGTTCTCCAATCTGAAAAAACCTGCCAACTGTGTGCCACTTACTGAAACCTTGCAAACTCTAAGCTGTCTTACAATGTAATACCTGCATCGGAGGGCAGCACTGTGAGGGGCACGTTTTTAGTTTCAATTTTTACTGACGGCTCCAGTAAAGACTGCATTTTTAGAGGCACTTGGGTCACTGGCACTTTAGCCACATGGATCAGCTGGGAAGGCGGAGGGCCTTGAAGCTGAATTCTGGTCGCAGAAGGCAAGGGGTGCAGCATCAGCGGGACCGTCAGATCCGCAGGGTGCATGGCGAAGGCTCCGGCCGGCGGAGCCAGGCTGCCATCGCTGCTGGGCTGGGCGACCCCGCTCTGGGGTCCCGCTGCCTCGGCCTCGGCCTCCTCTTCCTCCAGGCTGCTGGCCCCG